TCCGTGCACATCAAATAACTCCCCAATCCACCTCCCCTCTTCCTAACCTCTGGTGACCACAGTTCTAATTCTCTACCTGCTCTTCACACCCCTGCAAGTAGAAGCAGACAGTATTTGTCTGTTTTGGAGTGGCTTACTTCTCTTAACATGTTATCCTCAAGTTTCATCACTGTTGTATCTAACAGACGTTATTTGTCTATGTCAGATTTTCTTTATGAATTCATCCCCTTATAGATGCTTGGATCACTTCTATATCTTGTCTATTATGAATAATGCTACTATGAACATGGACATGCAAATATCTATGCAAGATTTTGGTGCTAATCCTTAGGCTATATAGTCAGATGTGAGATTGCTGGATCATACAGCAATTCTATTCTTTTTTTTTTTTTTTGAGGGAGCAGGGGTACTAAATTCACTTTTTCACAGTGTTTACCCTGTTTTACTATCATACCACAATGTAAAAATTCTGGTTTCTTTAGCTTCCTGCCAACATCTGCTTAATTATTTATTTTTTAAATAGTAGTCATCCTAATGACAATGAGCTGATTTTCTTGAGATTTGGACTTACAATTCTGTGGCAGGAGGGGGGGGGGGCGCCTCAGGCACAGGAGCTCCGCTTTGCAGGCGAGGACACGGAGGCGCAAGTGAACGCTATTACTCTCGCTTTACCCTTGTCACTAAGCACTGTTCAGGAGGCTGGTGATTCGTTCATGTCTCATCCGACACGCATTTCTGGGGGCTGGCAGGATTCTAGGCACCGGGGAGACAGCCGCGAATAGCACAGACAGGAGCCTCTGCCTTGGAGGGAGCTGACGCTGTGGTGCAGTGAGTTTAGCCCTCAGGCGGTAGGGTGGAGGAGCTGCGATCCCGTGGCAGGTGCAAGCCCCGGCTGCTCCACTTCGGATCCAGCTCCCTGCTCATGGGCCTGGGAAGGCAGTGGAAGACGGCTCCAGTGCCTAAGCCCCTGCCACCTACATGGGACTGTGGATGGAGTTTCAGGCTCCTGGCTTCGTCGTGGTGATTTGGGGAATGGACCAGTAGATGGAAGATTCTCTCTCTCTCTGTTTTTATTTTTAATTTATCTTAATCATTTTAAAAATGATTTATTTATATTTATTTGAAAGGCAGAATTACAGAGCAGCGGAGGCAGAGAGAGAGAGAGAGAGAGAGAGGTCTTCTGTCCGCTGGTTCACTCTCCAGTTGGCTGCAACAGGTGGAGCTGCACCAATCAGAAGTCAGGAGCCAGGAGCTTCTTCCGGGTCTCCCACGTGGGTGCAGGGGCCCAAGCACTTGGGCCACCTTCTACTGCTTTCCCAGGCCACAGAAGAAAGCTGGATCAGAAGTGGAGCAGCCAGGACTCGAACTGGTGCCACATGGAATGCCTTAACCAACTACACCACAGCACCAGCCCCTTAATCATTCTTTTATATAAAAAAATTATTTTATGTGAAAAGCAGAATGACACACACACACACAATCTTCTATCCACTGCTTCACTCCCCAGATGGCCACAACAGTGGGGGCTGGGCCAGGCCAGAGCCAGGAGCCAGGAGCTCCATCCAGGTCTCCCAAGTGGGCCACAGAGGCCCAAGCCCTTCGGCCAATCCTCTGCTGCTTTCCAGGCCATTAGCAGGGAGCTGGATTGGAAGGGGAACAGCCAGGACTCACACTGGATGCTGGCATTGTAGGTAGCAGCTTAACCCATTGCACTACAACACTGAACTCGTAACTTTGCCTTTCAAATAAAG